GAATCAGGGTTTTTGGCCAACTCCCCTAGGTGAACTACTAGTGGTTCACCAACCTGGTTATAGCCCCGGATGTCGGCTTTTCGTCCTCTCACTTTGGTGGCAAAACAACTCCGCCACGAGAAGGCAGTGAGTAGGACTACCTCAGCAGAGGCTATTCGGGGCGATTGGTCGTATGGGAGCATTTCGCGAGGTGCAAGGGACGGGTGACCAGCCGCAACCCTAGACACCCACCCCGACCATACTGAGGCTTTCAAACGCACATAAAAGGCTATCAAGTGCCATTACCAAAACTTACTGCCCGGCTTAGCTCCAAACGCGTTTCACATCTAGTGTTCTTAGGATTAAACGCCTATTCTGTCACCTCTTTCTGTATTTACTCTTTCACTTACTCCTGTGGAGCGAAGTATGTTAAACGCACAGCTATTTGTCTGTCTGAGCGCATTCATGAGCATCACACTGCGTGATTGAGAAGTGGATTAATCACAGGTGCAGCTGTGTTGCACCTTGTCAACACTAATCACTAATCGTAAACATGACCTTAGCTTGCTGACCCTTGAATGGAGTTGAAACGGAACGGTCTAAACACACACAAACACACTCTCTGTGTGCTCCAAAACAATTCTTTTACAGGTATTCAAGTTCCCACAGCTGGATTTCTGACAATTGACCCGTCATAAAACATCGAGAAAATGCGAACTAAAGACCAAATATGATACTCACCGGCTTAAGTAGTCTTTTCGATGTAAATTTTACCCTAATATTGCAGAATGTCGTGATAGAGATTCAGTGAGGTGAAAAGCAAATAAAATGTTTACCTAAAACATCTTACTTACTCCCTATTGCTTCCTCATCAAAATCATTAATCGAAAGCACTGTCAAATTAATCGTTTATGTGATTGTCCCAATTATCCCAGTCAATTCGGGAGTCCGTCATGTGACAGGTTGCTCGTTTATTCGCATTTGTTTTACCGAACCGGATTGGCTAATTTTTCCTACCTACCTACCTACCACACCTTTCTCTTTTTATGTTTTCTAATCGCACCTGTCTATCTGTGATCGTTTCCTGTCGATCGATTCTTTTATTTTTTCCTTTTCTTTCTGCTTGCCCCTCTCCTCTATTCACCTTTTTATTCGCAGGCCCGAATAAGTTACATCGATCCCATGTCCACCACAAGTGGGCGGAATGAGGCTCTTCAAAAACGCTATTTTTTCAAATGTAACTGCTCCATGTGTCTTGATGAGGATAGAGTGAGTTTTGACTCCGGTTTTGGACTGCCTTCTGCATTTGTTTCGAACCTGCTGTGTCGTTCATTGTTCTAATTGAGTTTGAATAAGACATGATCATCAATTCATGACTGGTACTCACTCATTGATCTGCACATCAACTCTCTGGTTCTTGTTTCTGCAAGTTGACCGCGGTTCTTTACTCATTTCTTTTTTCGTTCTACTTTAGAAGCTTGACATTGACAAGCCAAGTTTGCATCCGTGTATTTTCGTGTGTGATTATGAAGTTCCGAAGTCTAAACCGTTTCATGAAAATATCTTTAATCAAGTACTTGGGAGTGCATTTTAGCCATCGGATGATTAGACAGCTGTTGAACGGGAAGTTGAACAAGGCATTAATCCTTATCAGTTCACAAACACGTGAGTGTGCTATCGTTGTTCGAGCGTTAGTCTTACTCCTTCAGAGTTTGGTAATTCCTCACGCGTTTAATGCATGTTTGTGTTCGACTGAATTTTGTCTGGTGACTGACATTAGTATCTGTTTCATTGATGTCGAGACCGGTTTACAGAGCGCATTTTTCGTGACCCTCCCGGGGGTAGAATTGCGCTCCTTCGAATTCCTTAGCATGCTATCACGAGTTGTTTGTCTTTCATTAGTAAAAGTGATTCCTGTATTTCTCAGTTTGCATCGGAAATTGATCACTGTTCGCGTAGTACACGTACCTCTTCCTCGTTGCTTTATCCCGATTTAAAGGATCGCAGAATTTCCGGTTTGTTGTGCTGTGGCTCTGATAGTCTGAACGAACCGACTCAGGTGATTTCCTCTTCCTCATCGAATAAGGAACGGACCATCGAGTCAGCTTCATCCGACATTGCACGCTGCTGCCCCTCGTGCAACACGCGCTATAACAACGATCTGATTGAGCAGTTGTCTCATTTCCTCACTTCGATTACGGAAGAGTCACCGACGATTGAACTGGGTAAGCTACATTTACTCGTTTTTTCCGTAAGTTAGTTCCACTTGCTTTTCTCGATTGTGTTTATTAATCGATGAGGCTCATCTTTGAAGAGCTTTTGTGTTCTTCCTGCACCGTATTGTTTTTTAGAGCGCATAGCCCGTCAGTGATACCTTTGTTTATTGATTTCGAGGACTTATCGTCTACCTCCTCAGATTTTTCAGTCAACGTTAGACTGCTGTTCTGCTTTTGTTAGATCTTACCAGAAGTGCACATCCACTGACCCATCGGCTATTTAAACTCCAGATTGCATTGTATAGACGGTGTGGGCTCTATGTCAACCAGATCCCACTGGATCTCATCTGAGTTGACGATGTTACCTCGGCTAGTGATGAAGCAATTGCAAACAAATTGCCAAGCTCGGCGAATAGGCGAAATTAAATTTAATCCTATGTTGAATTTCGTTGTGTACAAAGCAAGTGGAGCCTGAATTGAAAGATAGGTAGCAATGTACAGCTGTTTTGACTCGTTTGGGTCTCATCATCAGTGAGAATCCGTCGACCCGACTGGGGATCGAACCAGGGACCTCGTAGGTTTAGGAAAGCACTCTAACCATTTGACTATGGGGCAGCCGATCAAACCGTTTTGAATTTTTAGTTTAGCACAGCCCATCTTTGCGAGCCTAATGCAGGCATCGCACCATGCGCACGTCAGCGTTAGCCTCCGGGGTTGTGACTTGTTTGAAAACAACCTGATTACATGTTATATGGGCTATTTGAGTTTGTTTGGAAATTAATTTCAGATACAACCAGTCAGTCATCGATCTGACTATTTTAAAGGAAACCCGGGTTACTGTTCGTTAACCGTAACCCAGATCATACCGTCGGATCAGATCTTCCATGCATTATAGTAGATTTTAGTGGAAAAATTCACCCTGAATACGTTTGTTGTTGATGGGCATTCATAAAAATACCTGATGGCTATGATATGGCTATGGTATGAATGTTCCAAGCTGCCGGATTTCTTTCTGTGTCCGCCATGTGACATTGTTTCACGGTCCATTCTGGTAAGATGGAGCAGCAGAATGCAGTTAGTTAAATCACGATTGAGAAAAGTCTTCACTGTTATTGGGTGAGGAAGAACGGACTTTCAACCCTGTCAATATATCACCGTATTTCAAACCCAGTAGTTGTGTCCGTTTACCATGGTCGCTTAATTAGTAATGTCGGCATGGATACAGAAGGCTCGATTGACATTTGTGGCGACGTGGCGATATCTGGCTGTCGAGTATATGTTGCGGCAGTTCTGTTATACGGCCCAGAGACTTAGCCAGGATAAAGGTAGATTGTCGTTATTCGAACACCACTGTCTACTCCTCCTTGCACGAGTATGGTGGAGAAGCCAGACGAGCAATACTGAGGTTAGGTGCAAAGATTTAGATATTCGCGTTTGGCCACTGGTAGACTTCCATAGAATATGTTGTTTCACTTCAGTTT